TTTCCTGAGCTTCTTTCGAGCTTCTTTCATCATTTCTTTAATTCTTCACATCGGCGAATGTTTCTACCAAAACTGAGCCGACACCAAATCATTCAAATGTCACACTTGTTGCTTCCAGGACGTCGTGGAAACACCCCACGACAACGGACTCAATCCACAATAAGTCGGGAACCCAAACGTGAGCTGAAACGATCTTCCCCCATCTGAATCAAACCGGCTGCATCGAAAGACTGCCTACGTATCCTCTTGCCTAAGGAATCAAGCCGAACGTAGTTCACCCAAATGGCCTCCAAAGGTCTCAACAATGAAGAATATTCAAAAGATTCAAACAATGACCAAATTTCACACCTAAAACAACTTTGGTCATCATATCTATAGGGTTGTCGTTCGTCCGGATCTTCCCCAATATGGCGTCTTCATCATCCAAAACGTCACGAATAAAGTGCAATCTGACATTGATGTGCTTCGTACGCACATGATAAACTTGGTTCTTCGTCAAATAGATAGCCGACATGTTATCACAAAATACCCGAATGGTCTCCTGTGCGATCCCCAAGTCATCCAATAATCCCTGTAACCACAAAGCCTCCTTAACAGCCTCAGTCACCGCTATATACTCTGCCTCTGTAGTAGAGAGAGCCAATATACCGGTGCACCTGCCAATGTAAACACATAACCTGAAGTAGACCGGCGCTTGTTAAGATTTCCAGTATAATCTGAATCCACATAACCAATACAATCCTACCCATTATTCTCATCCTTCTAGAATACCAGACCAACATCCATGGTGCCTCTAACATACCGTAGAATCCCCTTCATGGCCTCCCAATGACCCTTCCCAGGGTTATGCATGTATCTCGATACCATGCTTAAGGTCTGTAACAAATTTGGCCTCGTACACACCATCGCATACATCAAGCTACCTACTACACTGACATATGGGACATTCGACATATAATCTCTATCCTCAACTAAAACAGTCGACATCAATGCTGAAAGCTTAAAGTGGGGAGCCAATGGTGTGCTAACTACTTTTGCATTGCCATCAAAGCTGAATTTCTTCAACATCTTCTGTAAATAGCTCTTCTGTGTAAGCTTCAATCTCCCATTCACCCTGTCTCTCTTGATATCCATACCTAATATCTTCTTTGCTTCTCCAAGATCCTTCATCTCGAGCTCGGATGACAGCTCCTCTTTTAACTTTCGAATAGCTAAAGAATTCCTAAAAGCAATAAGCATATCGTTAATATATAAAAGTAAATATATGTGCTCACCATCCTGTAGCTTGTGCATGTAAACACATGGGTCACATGGGTCACATGGGCTCCTCGTGTAACCATGACTAATCATGAAGCTATCAAATCTCTTATACCACTGTCTCGGCGATTGCTTCAAACCATAAAGAGACTTCTTCAGCTTGCAAACCAATTCTTCTTTTCCTACAGCTTTGAGTCTCAAGGGTTATGTCATGTAGATATCCTCATCTAAATCTCCATGTAGAAAGGCTGTCTTTACATCCATCTGGACCAAATCCAAATCCAACTGTGCCACCAACGCTAATAAAATCCGAATCGACGAATGCTTCATAACGGGTAAAAATACCTCGTTGTAATCAATGCCCTCAAGCTGTGCATATCCCTTGGCAACCAATCTGGCTTTGAACCGAATGTCCCCAATAGAAGATCCCTCCTTCTTCGCATATACCCACTTGTTACCAATAGCTTTCTTACCTTTAGGTAGCTTTGCAAGTTCCCAGGTGTCCTTCTTCTGAAGAGAGCGCATCTCCTCCTCCATAGCTTTTATCCACCTGATCGAATTGGGGATAAACTCTGCCTCCCTGAATATGGATGTGACTATATCATCAACGACATCAACTGATAATGTATATGTGACTATGACATCATTATACCTAGCTGGCTGATGAATCACCCTCCTCGGTCTATCTGCTACAATGGACCCCTGAGCTTGACCCTGCTCCTGAGTCTTATCATTCACTGTATCCTCTATCTGCCCAGCTATAATATCATCTCCTCCCAGTGTCACCTCTGTAGGAGCCTTGATGGATACAATGCTATCTGGAATGGGTGGAGTCACATCATCCTCCACCTGCTGTGATATCTTAACTGTCTGGTCTCCCTCCACCTGTTGAGGGACTCGAGGCCTCATCATGTACGCCTCATCGAATGTGACATCTCTGCTAATAACTATCTTCTTGTCCTGTGGATCCTATAACTTAAAGCCTTTAACTCCATCTCTAAATCCCACAAAGACAACTTTCCTCGCCCTTAGATTTAATTTATCACCACTGACATGATAATAAGCTGGACATCCAAATATCTGAAGCGACTCGTAGTCACTAGCCATCGAACCAAACCAATGCTCCAAAGGAGTCATCCCGTCTATCACAGTGCACGACAACCTATTCAAGAGATGACTCGCATAAACCAACGCCTCGGCCCAAAAGAATCTAGGCAATCCACTCTGCGTTATCATACATTGCACCTTCTCCAGCAATGTATGGTTCAATCTCTCAGCCACCCCGTTCTGTTGCGGTGTCTCTCAAACTGTGAAGTGTCTTCTAATACCGTGATCTCGACAAAACTACAGAAATAGATCATTCTTGTACTCTCCACCATTATCTGAACGTAGAGTCTTCACCTTTCTACCTGTCTGCAGCCCCACTTTCTTTTTTCACTCCATAAAAATATCCAGGACCTGATGTTTATGCTTCATAGGGTATACCAAATTCCTTCTGGAATA